GTGGCGTTAAAGGATGGTTTTTGGCTTTGTATTTATAGAGGAGGTAGTGGGGTCCAGTGACAGCTGGTGACAGAGAGATGATTGGTTAAAACATATGAATCGCAGGTCAGAATTTAAGCGTATTGGATTGTACACGTTTCATCACTTAACAGGACATATTGCTGTACGGTCTGAAGAAATTTGTTTTTGTTTTTGAAAGATGTGTGGTTGAAAATGAGTAAAAGAATGAGAATAAAAATTTTAATGTGTACCAAACATGGGCTTAATTAAAAATCGTTAGTCTATGATTTTTGGATGGGACCGAGTCACAGACTAACGCGTGCATCTGTTGGTCGGTTTAATTTTCTGCAAAAATAATGCTATGTTAAGTCAACTAGTAAATGACAAACATATTCCTCTCATTTTAGAAATTATTATATCATTGTAATTGATTTGACAATTCCCACGGGGGATGCATCATTTTTAAAATCATCGCAAAAGGCAATTCCAACTAGAAGTTCGAAAGATAATTCATTTATTACCATTAAAGAGATCAACAATATCTCATACACCAATTTTAAATGCTCCAATTCGAACTAAAGTCCTAAATGACAATTCGTTAATATTATATTTGATGGCACATTTGAAGTGTGATGATATTCGATTCCGATATAAAAATATCCAAACGAAAATGGAGTAATTAGTAAAGATTGTCATATTAAAAGGTATATACTATTTATGAGTATTTAGACATACAAATTATTACATCCCATAAAAGGTTTAGATACTTGAAATAAAATCGAAAAAGAAAAGAAAATGTTGTTGACAACACTTTTGCACATGATGCATTGCATCATATTATGAATAGCGAGGAATCAAAATAAATTCGTCGAAACATATCAATCGAAATAATGAATGAGCAAATAAAATGACGCGATCATACTAAATTGAATTTATTAGAAAAATCTAAAGTTTTTGGACATGATCCTAGTAAAAATAAACTTACTAGAATTCAAAAACCTGGAGTATATACTTATGCGAAATAAAAAATGGAAAAGTAAGTCGTAATATGAAATGTACGACTCTTTACATAAATGCTCCAATTCGAACTAAAGTCTTAGATGACAATTAGTTAATATTATATTTGATGGCACGCCTGAAACGTAATGATATCTAAACGAAAATGGAGCAATTAGTAAAGATTGTCTTATTAAAAAGGTATATACTCTTTTTGAGTATTTAGACATAACAAATCATAAAACTTGATAAGATGTTTAGGTACTTGAAATAATGAAAATTGAAATATCTCAAT